CTATATTTGGCTCTTAGGTATTATTTCATAATTTGATAATGTACTCGTAAAATGCAAACAATTAAAAAACGGACTTACCACTAACTGTCTCAGCGCTTCACCTGGTGTGTGAAAGGTTATTGAACGTATTAAAAAAATCCACTTATAAATATGGAACACAATTTTGATACATACATTTTTTCTTTTTAAAACCCACACTGCACTTTTCTTGTATTCAAAGAAGGTGTCGTCCTCCACTTTCCGTACAAGCTTCATTACGACGAACCAGTTTCTTCTTACTCTAGGTCCTCGAAGTTGTCCATTCATTATTTCAGCCGCATTAAAAATTTGTTCGAGGTACTCGAACAAAACAACATACTAAGTTAGTATTACTATTTTTTTTTTTTTTTTTTTATATCGAAACAGCCGCGCAGGCAGAAGCCTAAATGCCGGAACACCGCGGCTGCTATGATGATCCCAAAGAAATTTTGTTAATACGATTTTTGAACTGCCTAAGGTTAGTAGAACTGGGAAAAGCTTCCTCCCGTAGATTGTTCCACAATCTAGACACCCTCGGGACAAAGGAGCGGTCGTATCGGCCAGTTCTGGATGTACGAAGTTTGACACGGTTAGGATGGGACGCCGAAGTCAGGCGGGTCTGTCTGGCAGGCACATCGCGCGGCGGCATCATGGAAGAGAGCTCTGAGGAGCAAAGCCCGTTGGTGTAGCGATAGAAAAGAGCTAGATCGCCGACGGCCCGCCCGGTGCGAAAGAGTCCCGAGACTGTCTGTTAGAGAAGAGTCATCGATCAGTCGGACCGCCCTCCTCTGGACAGCATCGAGCATGGACAATGTAGTCGGGGCGGCAGCACCCCAAATGTGTGAGCAATACTCGAGGCTAGGCCTTATCTGGGCCTTGTATAGAGTGAGAAGGTCATGCGGAGAAAAGTACTTCTTAGCCCTAAACAAATAGCCTAGCTTTTTCCCAGCAGCTGCAGCTATTGAAGAGATGTGTTCGTGCCAGATCAGGTCCTCGGTGATCTGGACTCCGACCAGCCGAAATGAATGGCTCTTTGGTAGAACTCGACCGTCCATCGAAACTGTATGAGCGCTAGGACGCTTTTTGTTCGTCAAAGTACAGTACTGTGTTTTGGAAGCATTGAACTGTACAAGATTGTTGCGTCCCCAAGCAGTGATAGCCTCCAGGTCTCTTGTCAGAGAAGAAGTCGTCGCTAGTTTCTTTTTTCCAGCTCAGCGGCAGAGATCGGCTTGTCACTCTGAATTCCTGCATGTAGAGTGCTGTCATCAGCGAAGCTGTGGATTGGGTTGATCGTGCAGGAAAGGAGGTCGTTGATATGTAAGAGAAACAGTGTTGGAGCCAAGACCGATCCCTGGGGAACACCCGCGTTGACGTTGTGGGATGAAGAGGAGAATCCGTCAATTACGACGGATATCTTGCGGCCAGAGATAAAGTCAGCCACCCATCTGCAAAGCTTTTCTGGGAGGCCGTAGGATGGAAGTTTGCTTAAGAGGGCAGCGTGCCACAGCTGATCGAACGCTTTCGTGATGTCAAGAGCAACGACATGAGCCTCACCATGAGACTGGATGAGTTTACTCCACAGTTGCGTGACGTAAGCTAGGAGGTCCCCTGTGGATCGTTGGTGCCGGAAACCGTACTGCCTGTCGCTAATCAAGCTGTGACGTTCGAGGTAGTCCAGAAGCTCGCGATTTATGCACCTCTCCATCACTTTACTTATAACAGAAAGCAGAGCTATAGGCCTGTAGTTGTAAGGGTCGGTTTTAGATCCTTTTTTTGGGATGGGCTGTACATGAGCAAATTTCCAGTTTTCTGGGAAGGTGCCGGATTCATAAGATATCTGGAAGAGACGCGAAAGAACTGGAGCAAGCTCCGCTGCACATCTCTTCAGTACAATGGCAGGAATCAAGTCCGGACCAGAAGCTTTGTTGATGTCGAGCGACAAGAGCACTCGTCTTACGGTCTTATGCCTGAATGTTACCTCCCGCATAGTGTGGGGAACCCTTTGAATTGACGGCACTTGGGCGTTGGTGGGGACGTCCATGGTGGAGTTGGCAGCAAAGATCTTGGCTAGCACTTCCGCCTTGGCCTTTGAGTCGAATACAATAGTTCCATCCTGACACGTAAGTGGTGGAAGGCTACTGTGTGAGAAGTTCTTTTCAATCTGCTTGGCCAGCGTCCAGAAAGACCGACTGCCATTGCGCTGCGACATTACCCTGTGCCTAACTTTTATATCATGCTGGTTTTGGCATTGCGAACCGCTTCGTTATATTTGTTTCTGGACTCGACGTCGGCTTGTCTGTTCTCTACAGGGGGTTTTGTAAGTAGGTTCTGTGGGCCTTGATCTTCTGCTGGCGAGCAGTGTCACACGATTTGTTGAACCAGCCGTTGGACCCTGGTTTAGGAACTTTCACTGTGTGAGGGATGTATTCCTCCATTCCGACGTGGATAATTTCGGTTATTGAAGAACAGACAGTCGACGCATCCGCGTCAGTGAAACAGACATCTCTCCAAAGCTTCTCCCCCAGTCGGCATGTCCGTAATGCCAAGTTTTGCGGCCTGTGCGAGTTTCTGCTGCCACAGCGGCTTCTGACCGAAACCTAACCTCCACAACACCGTGATCTGAGTTACCCAGGGGGGACAGGACAGCAGTGCTGTAAGGGGCAGGATGCGTGGTCAGAAAGAGATCCAGCAGGCTACTGGCGTGTGACGAGACGCGGGGGAAAAAAGTAGGGCTCGTCACCAGCTGGGTCAGCCCTTGAGTAAGAGCGAACGCTTCGACTGCACGACCTGCTGCATCGGTCTTATTTGAGCCCAACCAAAGCTCATTATGGGCATTGAAATCACCGAGAAGAACTACCTCTGAAGCGGGGTGATTGATGTTCAGGAAGTCGATCTGGACGGCGAGGTATTCGAGTAGGTCATCCCAGTTATGGTTCGAGGGAGAGCGATAAAGGCAGCAAATAAATTTGGGTGATGTTTTGGAGTTGAGGCGAAGCCACAGAATGTCCTTCCGGTCTGATTCCAAAGAAAGATCCCTGGAGCAGGAAAGACTGCTGCGGACAAAAGCCACAACTCCCCCGTTCTTTCTCAGATTGGAGTGCACCTCGTAGTTTGGGAAGTTGAGATGGTTAATCGGTGCAGTCTCTGAGATTTTTGTCTCCGCCAAGAAAAGCACGGCGGGACGATTGGATTGCAGGTAGTGATGAACAGCATCAATGTTGCTGTTGATCCCGCAGATGTTCGAAAAACAAATTTTATCTTCGATGTTGTTCCCTCGAGCCCACCCTCCACCCGGACATTCCGAGAGTGGAGTGAGTTTACGTCCGGAGTTTTTAGTGCTCGAGGGATCCATCATCATTAATTTCTTTGTTTTGGTAGATAACCGACTGCATAGCTTAGGTGTGGAAACATGCGGACATTTATAAGACACCCTGGGAAAAGCTAGCGGGTGGTACTGCCTCGGTCGACTGGTCCTTGTCTACCACCTTCTTTTTACGTGTTAGTGATGTTAAATAGACCTAAAGTGGCCCGTTGGCGGACTTGTACCGCCACCCGGCAATCGGTACTGAGGTATTCCTTAACGCGTGCACAATCACTTGGACGGGAAGAAGTTGTATACTGGATACAACAACTTCCGGAACAAGCATTTGCCACTGCCCTCGCTCAGTGGGACGAGAACTAACCACTGTTACAGTTTGCGATCGATTGCAGGTTCAATAAGAGTGATGATGACCGACGCGCTGTTGTCATGTATGTTTTAAATATTCAATTTAATGAAACTTTCTTGCTGACTGACTACAAATTTTGACTTAACTTAGAAAAACTTGATGCCATTTATTTGTTAATTACCCAATTTAAAAACGTTTTAGATTAGATTATAAAAATTAGTAAGATTGTGGTGATTGTGGTCGATATAAAGCACTTAAAGTTGTAAACTATAAAGCCATTTAGACAAAAATCTATTGACTTTTGGACCATGGGTCATATGAACTTTTTGACTTGTTTTGACCCCACCCTATTACCCATTTCAATAATGACTACCATAATGTTTACACCCTGTATAAACAACTTATTAGTTTATATGAGGGTTGAGAAAGAAATACGGTTTTCAAAGAGCTCCAACCACACTGGAAGGTGCGAGGTGAAATCGGCAACACCGCTACGCGCGACTGTTACCCCACTTTTCATTCACCCCGGCCGCGATTCGCTGGCCTCTCATTTTTGGCTCGGCAGCACTCCGAAATGGAGGTTTTCACTGTTGATACCGCCAAGTGCCAAATTCGTTCCATAATTCGTTTTCTGCACGCCTAAAGGACTCCACCCGTTGGTCCATAGCATATCCGAAAGTTGTGCAGAGAGTTTAGTGCGGATTGGAAGGGAAGTGGAACAGGATGATTACATTGTAAACTCCCAGGAAATGTGAGCTCTAACTGTTATCCTCCTGTTTTGAAGTACACCTCGATAATCGTCTCTGAAACTGACAGCCGTCCACTCCGTTCTTCATTGTGGACTTACTGCCAACCGGCTCTTAACTAGCTGCACCACTTTCGGTCATGTTGAATGTACACAGACTTGTCGCTATACACCTCTGTCAACTCACGACGAATACCCACGGTTGGAGTCCCTTTGGCATGTAGCAAACCACTTGAGGAACGAATCTTGCATTTTGCGGGATCACAATTTGGAAGCTTCCTATATGATGAATGCTGAGCGCCGCAGCGATGCGCGGCCGGGAGGAATCGATAGTGGGGAATGTGGGGAACAGTTGCGCGCTGTGCTGATGCCGGCTTTTGACTCACAACTTGCATTGTGACTGGAGCTCTTTGGGAACCCTATTCCTGGATGGATCAACCCACGTAAAAATATGATTTTTTATAGGTACAGTACAGTGTTTTGACTGCAGAAAAGGCCAACTATGGATCATAGAAGCTCACAGCAAAGAAGTGACTGGTCTAGCTATCAGTGATCGGTGCCCTGGTCTCATGGTAACAGCCTCTCCTGACGAGATGGTCAAAACCTGGGACTACAAAACAGGCGCAGAACCCAGATTGGTCCAAGAGAAAGAGTACAAAATGGGGAACATTCACTGCTTAGAACTCTGTCCTGATACGCCATTTGTGGTTGCGTTAGGTGGTGATAACAAGTCACACAATTTTACTGTTTTTGATTTGAGAAACGAGGATGTGATCAAACATACTTTTGCAGAAAGGAGTTTGGTGCAGTTAGTTGCTGAAGAGGGGGGAGGTGAAGGCAGTAGTGACAGTTAATAAAAGATAAGGATATTCTTGAATTTTATTGTCTATAATTTAAGTCGCGGGTAACAGCTAGTTTTACATAAAACAGGTGCTGGAGTAGTAGATAACGAAAAAATTAACGAATATAGTCTGATGAAATCAACTTCGCAAGATTATTAGTCGAACACAATATCCAACTTTCATTTTGCTAAAATGACTACTACCGAAGAAAAGGTTACCTATGTTTGTCAACTTTAAGTAACTATATCCTTGAATGACATCCCCAAAAGTTGAATTATCTTAAGAGTTGAACCCTCTATCATAAATTGGTAACCACGTACCAAATTAAGGCCCTAATAGACCTTTGACCAACAGGTTGGCTCAAAACTACAAAAAAACACAGCTCTAAAAAGTACTTGAAAAATTCTTGACCTTGAAGACATATCCTTTTTATTATATTAGCTAATATTAACCTAAAATACGTCTTCAATGTCAGGTTCTTTTTTGGGGCATATTTTGGTAAGTAAAAATTATCTTATTAATGACCAATAAAAAATTCTTGTAAGCTTACAACAAAGATTCTTTCAGTAAATGTTCGTCTAGATTTCGACATTGACACTTTACGAACTTTTAAGTAGAAGTGTCTTAACTGAAGTTAAAATTACTTGCAAATATTTCTTCATAGCTATAGGCCAACAAATAGTCTTTCAAGGCAATTTGGTTGCCACCTCCCCATTATTGATCTTTGATGACTATTTGGTTCTTAGTTCTTTTAATTTGCAGTGTGATTGCCTGGGAGTGCCAATTTCTTCAGTCATATTCAAATCTAGAAGATGTCTATAAATTTAAACTCGAAGAGGCCTAAGATTTATATTCATACCAATCTCATATACTACCGAGAGACTCCGCTATCAAGATTTTGTTTTAAATGCACATGCGCGTTCAGGTCGGAAGTATCGTAGTGGTATTTGGACTGTGTAATAGAGAACGTATGACACGTGTCAGAATATCAAATCCACCTTTTTTTTCTTTGGAGCAAGCTCAATACACTTAGTATAATAAGTAGTTTATAAAGATCAGAATTATCAAAATCAAACATCATACTCTACTAATGAATGCATCCCGATACGTTCATCTCTGTCTCCCTCCATGTCTCTCTGGATTAGGCAACGACTGTAATTTAAAAAAAAATCCTAGCGCATACCCGCAATACGCATGTAGTATAATTCATACACATATCGCCAGCTACGGGAAACTAATAAATACAGCATACATACCTACATCAAATTGAAAAATTATTTAATGTCAAATTGTTTTCCAACAATAAAAACCAAGACCTAGTTGTACCTTTATTTGGAATTTGACGTCTGAAGTACGGTAAACTAAGGGCCGTGTCGTCAGACAATAATTGATTGCCTCCTTTATCACAATATCTTGCATCTTTCAGTAAGGAACGTGTGTGACTGCTTTAGGTTTCTACTCTGCCGTCAATTGTGATGTTAGGTTATGTTTTTATTTGACGTTTAAGAAATTTTAGACAGATGAATCATATGCCGAAGCATATTTTCTTGCAAATAATGTTGTAGTTACTAATAATTCCCTACATTGAACAAATTTGTCAAGCTTCAAATCCCATATCCGGCATTAATGATCTAAAATGAACAATTTAATGCAAATGGCTGTGTATTCATACAAGGTGATTCACAAGTCGTGACCAAAAATGAAACATCACACACAGGACCGCATTGAAAGGGGGTAACTACTTTATTAAAATTCGGCATATATGTACGTTATGTATAATCAAGAGGTATTTTTACTGTACGAATTTTCTTTTAATTTCCACCAGCGACGTTCGTACCGATTTCACTTGCCTATTTTTGGCAGACAATGATACGACGGAACTGATTTCTCTTAAAATAAAAACTACTCTTGAATTCCTGTCATTTCTAAGCAAATTTGGTTTCTTAATTTTTGTTCACTCCGATGCACCGTATTCGCTTACAAACGTGCATGATCCTAATATTGTTAGTATGACAATGTCATGACTATGTCGAGAAATAGATTCTTTTTCAAGTGAAAACCGTGCGACAGACTAAAAGAATTCAATTTTTTTATGTTCAACCCACGATTTCGACCAAAAAATGAAAAATTCTCTACATGGTGGTATTGCCATATTAATAATATTGGTATGATCGAAGAGAAAGTTTTCATTTTTATGAAAACCGTGAACTCATTGGCATAAAATCCGAACACCCAGTTTAAATGGTTTTATTTTAATAAAATTTTGTATAAGTACTGAAGCATAATAAGTAAATGTAAAAATTTCAAATGATTGCACTGCTTTAAAGCCCTTTGACCTTTAATAATGTGTGGATGCACCCTGATGTGCTACGCATTCTCCAACGCGCCTAGGCATGCTTCTGATCAGGTGGTCAATGT